ATAAATTGTCAGTCAGCTATGGGAACTATGGGAAGACACTAAACGTTACGTAATATAACGCAGTGATTTCAAGCGAAGAAATGAAGACTGTAATTTTCTTATTCGGACTTGCGCTCCTTGTCGCAATTATCATCCCGACTAATGGAGGACCTATGGCCGATCCAGCTGCGAAAGCTTCTCCAGAATCTAATGCTTTTGCTGATCCTAAGGCCGAGTCTAAGGCTGAACCTTTTGCCGAAGCTTTTGCTCATGGTTTTGCCGAGCCTTTGGCCGAGGCTTTCGCCAACCCTAGTGCTCTAGCTGAAGCTTTGGCCGAGGCTTTTGCTAAACCTTTTGCCGATGCTTTTGCCAACCCTGCGCTTTTGCCACCAGCAGTGAAAAGTTTGCTAAATAAGTTTATTAAGATTTAAGGTACAGTATTCTAACCTCTTTAACTTAAACTGATTTAACTACATATCTTGAAAATATTGTTTATTACTCATTTATATAGTTGTCTATATTTTACAGTGTAAAGATAAGCAAATAATTTTTTTTATATTTTTATGACTTAATTAATATTCATCGTTTATTACCTATTGTTGGGAAAAATAAATAATTATAAAATAATTTACAAATTGAATATACAATTGCCAAGATTTGTTTATATCTTTACACAAAAATATAATACTTAATGTGTTTTTAACGCAGCTTTATCATCGAGTCATGTTTAATCTTGTAAATTCCTTATTTTGTAATATATTTGAAAAATTATAACAAAAGAAAGTCAGATTTGTAACATGACATCATTCTTTAAAACTGTTTTGATATTATTTTTTTCAATTTACATATCAATAAATCAATTAATAAATTTATTAAGAAATCTATGTTTATATTGTAGGAAAAACTCAAGATGGAATACGAAAAACTGGGTCTTATCACCAGTAGATTATGTTAAGCACAAAGTGGAAAAATATTTGTTTAATAAAAAATCTAAAAAAGCAATGAGATTTTATTAATGTCATTGTAATACATTATTGGCGTTATATTTGTAAAAATAAACGTATTAATTCCAAATAAATACAGCAGCAAATTAAATTAATTTCTTGTTGATCAACCATCTCACCTATTCCATAGACAGTTTTACATGCAAACGAAGTAAAATAAATATTTTGCGTTGAAACTTAAATGATTTTGTTAAAGAAAAATTATGTTTTAATGCAAAAAATGTTGCTTTGGAAAAGTAAAGCAATCCTATTATACATACAGATATTCAGATATTACAATAAATATCATTCTGTAGATTAATAAATTATTAATATAATATATAGATTAGAGAAATAATATAGCAAATCTTTAAAAAAAAATAGAAGAATTAAAATATATATATCTATATATGCAAATATAAATAAAAAATATATATGTATATTTGAAAAGAATATTTAAATCTGTAACAAACAATTGTATAATATAAGTGCAAACGAAATGTGACAAAAAGACATTATTTCTGGAACACAATGATTATAAATTTCTATTTCTGAAATCCAGATTAAAAGATAATTTTGAATAGAAACGGAACAATATTATAAAATGCATATATGAAATTTATAAGCAAATTTTAAATATCGACATTCAGGTTTATTATGAATTAAAAATATGTTTAATTTGTAGTTTGACACATGTTCAACACGCAGTAATATTGCAAATCTCTTTACTGGTGTAGGTACTCTGTAGTAATAAAAATTGTGATGATTATCTTTATGTGGTCGCATATTTTTCAAACTATTACGCATCTCACGATGCTTGATAAATTTCGTCGTAAACTGAAAAAATAAAAAGTGTATATTTTCTATTTTATGTTCTTGATATATACTTTTATCGCCAATGTATAGATACAAGTTTCTCTATAAATTAGTTAGACCACGAAATCAAGTATGTCAGTCGCGAAATATACGCAGCGAGACGTATAAGAATAATACATTTTACTTTTTATTACTACGAGAAAGCGAACATGAAAGCTGTAATTTTATTATTCGCTTTAATTGCGATCTTGGTCGCAGTTAATATCCCGGCTATTAATGCAGAACCTGGGGCTACAGCTGAAACTGACCATACTTTGGTACGATAAATTATTTTAATATTACTCTAAACAATAATTAAAATAAGATGATATAATTTTGCGTATGTAGAATATCGCATATGAATTTATTTTGGTCATTCTATCCTGTTACATTTTTACCTGTCAGTCATATATTTTCTACAAAGGTATGCAAGCAAATCTTTTTACGCGGAATACGAAATTTTTTATATTAGTTTATGACTTGTTATTTATTATTAGTGACAGTACAAATTTACAACAAAATTAAAACACGTTGTAAAAGCATGCATTATTTATATTCTTACACGTAAATATAATATTGAAAATGTTTTTGTTAGTTTTACTTTCAAGTGATATTTATCAAAATATGTGACACAGAATAAATGATGTGATAATTATTTTTATTGGCACATATCCTTTAAACTATCATGCATTTCACGATGCTCGATATATTTCATAATATTTTTATTCTTTTAAATTTTTAAATCTTATGTTATATTTTTGAAGTTATGCATGGCAAGTTAGCAAAACATGAAGGGAAGAAATCTAAATTTTTATATTTAGTGTAATATAACATTTTCAAACAATAATATCGTTACAAATGATTTCTGTCATCTTAAAGTTTAAGCACTATTATATTGTCACGTTTACTAAGGAAAATATATTGTGTATTTTAGGATGATTAATGGGCCCAGGAACCCAGGAGACACTAAATAAATTAAAGGCAAAAATAAGCGGATAAAATAATATGGAAATCTTGAGAGTATAATCTCGTTAATATTTGGTACATTATCGACAGACCAAAAATAAATTAATTAAATGTTTGTGAATTAAATAAACGCAGCAGCAAATTAAATGAATCTCAGTTATTTAAGTCAAGTTATTTAATAATTATCCCTGAAAACATTTCTTAATACAAGATCGTCGCGATCGACGAAAGATTGCCATCGTCATCGGGTGGCTGGTATTTAATTGTCGCTCTACGTAAATGCCACCGTCGAAAAAGGGCCAATATTAAACGAGAAGAAACTATAATTTGAAACGGTGATCTGAACGTTAGAATCTTTCGCATTCTGGTTGACCCCCATAAATTTTAAGAAAGCGGAGATCCTCTTGTTAGATTTGAAACGCGACGATTTATTTAAATCTATCGCTCATTGTTAAATTCGTAGTGTCGAATTATACTCAATTTAAGTCGCTTTTAACCATCCCTACTCAATACGTTGTCAATTTAACTAAAACAATATTAATTTAACTAAACCAATGGAGTTGAAATAAAACCGTTTTGTATTTCAACACCAATGGCAATTAAAAATAACCAAATGTTATTTAACTCAAGATATTGGTTTAAATTTCGTTCTTTAATATTTAACAGTGCTTGAGCTTCGAGAGCTTTTCCGTTCGTGAAAATATTAGCCTCTTGTGGATATTTACAGAAAGTTTCTAGCGAAGTGAAAATCTCCAACGGACGCCAACGGTGCGTTAATATCGTAGCGTAAGACATGATGCAGCAGAATTGTGATTAAAACCGCGAGACCGGAGGCAAAAAACCAGGCCAAAACGCGGCAGAATCGCGCCGCGCGAGGGACATATATACGAGCGAAATGGACGTTTGCACGTCACTATTAATCGGATTTAATAACATCAATAGTTATAACTATTGACGTGAAATGTCAATCTCGTACAAACGCTCATTAAATCCGATTGTACAACACCAGTTGTTGTTAATTACTCTACACTCTACATCATTGACGAACATATGTATAGATATAAATCCAATTTAAAAAAAACGTGTAAACGTTGAACGAGTTGTTATAATTGCATCGCCAACTTGAGGTAAAATTACAAAAAGTACATCTGCTGTATTTCTTTGACAAAATCGAGACTTAAAGATTTCTTTGAATGTAGAAGAAACAAAACATCCTTTTGTGTGAACGAGCGTGCGTTTTTAGGAAGTTACAACCCGACGTTAATATTAAACCTGATTAATGGTGACGTGTAAACGTATAGCCATGGAGAAGTGGGCGAACGCTTGTCCGGCAAACAATAGCGAATGTTTCGCGTCCCGAGTCGCGGCGATAGCGTCGGGATGAGACTCGAGGGATCAATACGCGCACCGGCGGATTTCTCAATCGACGCGCAATGTAAAGCCTGCACCCTCCCGCACCCCGCGTTCTTCCCCCATGGATTTACATACTCGTGTGTGTGTCCCGCGAGTAATAAGCACGATGTACAGGTAACCCTCGAATAACACGGTAAATAATTGTGACAACTCTACTTTTTTCAATTTTTTTTTTTAATAATCCTTTGGAGCCAAATGCACAATTTTACATGAACATCTGGAGTCTTGAATTGCACATGGTTTCCAATTGTACGGAACGTGATCTCCAAAATTGTCGAATCCTAAGTCTCGAATCACGCGGAACCAATTAACTATATATTATTCGAGGGTCACACCTGTCCATTTCCATTGTACTTCAATCGAGACTCGATTGAACAATGAATGATTTTATACACACGCACGTAGAATTGCATACGCACGTATTATAGATCCGGCGCGCGGCTAGCGATTGTGTAATTACATAATTATATACGGAGAAGCGACGTAAAGCGAATGTGATGATGGAAGCGGAAGTGCGTAATTCGATTGGGAAGCGATGAAGTACGCGCCAGGGGAAGCGAACGTGATGCTTTCTCGCGTTGATTATCCCTCGATCTCGAGACAAGTATAGATTCCGCAAATTCTTGCGAACGGGTTCTCCGACTGCAGGACGCGATCGAGCGTAATATCACCGCGTAATGACGCGCTCGGGAATTTGTTCCTTTTTTTTTTAATTTTTACTACTTCGTCTTCGTGACACTCGAGACAATCGCGGCGTGCACGATACCGTTGAGACCGTTGTTTAATCACGCGTATTTGTTTCAGACGTTGAGAAGACACTTGGGGTATCGTTTCGGTAAAGCGAGAGTAACCGAGTTCGTTCCAGCTACGGCAGCACGATGCAGAGCAACGGTTCGGAGAATGTAGGATCCGAGAATGGAGTCGACAAATCGGGATGGACGGTACGTATACCGATCGGTCGAACAGGCAAGTCAGTTTTAATGTAAACCGGCAGCTTGCCGAGGCTACGAAGACGTGGCGATAATAACGGCATCGCGCACGAAGATTGGGATCACCGTAATCCAATCTACTCTTCCTCGTCTGCCTTGTATAAAATTACCCCGCGAATCTAATCGCAACTGAATTACGAATAATATCGATAATCTTAACGGTGAAACGAACATTTTTCTTATTCTTCCTCTTAATCTTATTTGAATTAATTGTTCAACATTTAATTACTCGATAGACACGACAAATGTTTTAATTTAATTTGAATTTCAAATTTTAATTAAAATCAATAGTAAAAGAGTATAAATGAGTTACACGGTGATTGACGTGAGGTGTCTTTCAGGTTGGACTGATCAACGGAAAGTTTAAGTATCTAACGGCGGAGACGTTCGGTTTTAAAATCAACGCTAACGGGTCGAGCCTGAAGAAGAAGCAACTGTGGAATCTGGAGGGCAGCGAGCATCAGGTTTTCCTTCGCTCGCACTTGGATCGATACCTAGCGGTCGACCAGTTTGGCAATGTAACGTGCGAGAGTGAGGACTCGTCAGATCCGGGATGCGCTTTTCAAATACAACTCGCTTCCGACGGTACTTAGACTTCACCTTGTTTAATTTGCATAAAACATCGGGATATTAGAGATATAGAAAATCCAGTTGCGCCCTACAAATTTTTTCGTATCCTCCAAGTCAAGATAAGATATCTTCTTCGCAAAAAAAAAATAGTAGATACGTTAAAAGACATATATATTAACCGAATGGCGAAAGGGGAACGGAGGAAAATCTTAACAATTCCGACTTTCGACATTGGGATAATATAATTTTCGCATCGCAATCATTCAGAAATGTTCGATTCATCGAACTATCCTTTAATCAAACTGGTCGAAGTATAAGAGGCTATTTTTATCTTCTACCGACTTGGCGTCTGCCAATCAGACGGTTATTCCAAACATCCGGCCTCAATCGGGGCTCTGTAATGAATGGGTAAACGTATATCGGCGATTCTCTCAAGGCATGGCAATCGTGACAAATTGCAGGCAGCGGACGATGGGCTCTGAAGAATCTCCAGAGGGGCTACTTCTTAGGCTCGAGCCAAGATGAATTGAAGTGTACCGCTAAGGCCCCAGGCGAGGCGGAGTATTGGCTCGTGCACCTCGCCGCTAGACCGCAGGTATATACCCTAAGTAGCCCGTTGCGTCTCGAGATTTCGCGAAGCGTTTACGGCGAACCGTTTTTGCGCAATCCAGTCGTCGTTACACGCACAACTTCACTAATAACTGTATTTTCTCAAGCAACTGATTTTCCCCGACAGTCTCGATTTGTTCCGCCGAGTTGTTCATTCTTTTACGATTGTACTGTATCTTTATACAGGGTGACGTTGTACCATCGGGCATCTTTTCGAGTTCCTTCGATTAGTTTGAAAATTGATTTTTTTATTGAAACTCAAAAATCCGAGATACACTGGGCGTTTTTTCCAGAAACACCCTAGATATATATTTTTTCTGTTAAAGATAAAAATAATAATTTTAATGAGACAATTGTTGAACTTTCCAAAGTTAATTAGGCATTGAGACTTAATTGTCTAGGTGATAAGCTTTTGATAAGCTAATCGGGAGATTTAATTATTCAGGTGAATCTTCGATCGGCCGGAAGGAAACGTTTCGCACATCTGAGCGCCACTCAGGACGAGATCCATGTGGACGCGCCGGTGCCCTGGGGTGAGGACACCCTGTTTACCTTGGAATTTCGCCCGACGACAGGCGACGACGACAGTCGTCATTCTAAGCCCGAGGGCGGTCATTATGCGCTACATACTTGCAACAATAAATACCTCGCACGTGATGGCAAACTCCTGGACGCCTGCACGCGAGACTGCCTGTACGCCGCGGAATTCCACGCTGGTCTTCTCGCCCTTCGGTAGTCACACAATTTCTTTACACCTCTTCATATGTCGTGAATAAAGCCTTTCTTAATTAAAAATTATCTCATACCGGCGAGCGTAAGAAAGAGATGCAATTGTTTCAAAATTGAAATTAATTTCAACATTAATTAAACATTTTGACGAATTAAATTGAACTGAGTTGAATTAATTTCGATAAATTAAACTTTTGCAGGGATATACACGGCGCGTACTTGGCACCGATCGGAAGTAAGGCCGTTCTGAAATCGAGATCAACGACCGTTACGCGCGACGAGCTTTTCTCGTTGGAAGAATCTCTGCCGCAAGCGTCCTTCGTCGCGGCGTTGAACCAGCGATACGTTTCTGTGAAGCAAGGTAATTTCTAGACGTTTAACGATCTTCCGTCGTGAAATATCGAAAGGTAGTTAAAAATTATTGATTGACGTTCCGATTGATTAGGTGTCGACGTGACGGCCAATCAGGACGAGATCTCCGGCCACGAGACATTCCAGTTAGAGTTCGACCGGGTGACGAAACGGTGGTACGTGCGAACGATGCAGGACCGTTACTGGACTCTGGAGGCCGGCGGCGGCATACAGGCGTCAGATCATAAGCGCTCGTCGAACGCGCTCTTCGACCTCGCGTGGCAATCGGACGACGGCACGGTCGCGTTGCGCGCGAATAACGGCAAGTTCCTGGCCACTAAGCGATCCGGACATCTCTACGCGAACGCCGACTCGTTGAACGGCAACGACTCCGACGCCGCCAAGTATTACTTCTACCTGATGAACCGGCCCGTGCTGGTGCTGCGATGCGAGCAGGGCTTCGTCGGGCCCAAGAGCGCGGCCAGCCCCAAGCTCGAGTGCAACAAGGCCGTTTACGAGACGATACGCGTCGAGCGATGCGAGCGCGGCTTAGTCAGGTTCAAAGGTGATTACCTTTCTTCGATTCGCAAATTCGTTCATCGCCGCTTCAATCAACCTGAATTAATACTTTATCATACATACTTTTTTTCACACATAATCGTAAAATATAATATACAATATTATTATTTAAAATTATTAAAAAATCATATTATGTAAAATATTTTATTATATAAAAGCATAATATATAAAATAATATAACGTGAAGGAGGGATGGCTGCTAATTGCATATCACTAAAAAATATTCCAGCCTTCCAGTTCACGTTCGTCCGGATTGATTCTATCACACATTTGTCCGTTCATTGCAGGACAAAACGGGAAATATTGGCACGCGGACAGCGAGGGAGTAACCGTGGACTCGGACGTGCCGTCCGACGGCTTCTACCTGGAGCTGCGCGAGCCGTCACGGATCTGCATCAAGTGTTCGGACGGCCGGTATCTCACCGCGGGCAAGAACGGCGCGCTGCGTCTAGGCGAGTCGGACTACGAGTCCGCCACGAAGTGGGAGTTCTAAGGATGGAAACGTAAATGCAACGGGCAAGATGTGTATTCCACTGCCTCCTCAGCTTTGTGGTCGTAACTCGCAGCATCCGTATCCCCGGGATAACAACGACGAGAGAGATCGGCGGTTCGCGCTGCTTCTTGCCGCGTACTTAATTGAGCATACCGCGTCGCGTCAGAACGACAGTTTACAGTATTCGACGTTCTGCTCCAATATATACTTTTCTTTTGCTCTCGGTAGAGCTTCGTGGATCCGCAGTATATTCAAGACTGACGGTTTCATCCCGCAACCGCGCGATAACGCAAAAGTCCGAGAGACGTCCAAAGGACCGGCTATTATAACTACCGGTCTATTTTATACGTAACACACACACTTTTATATCTTTATATATTTATAGGTATATACAGTTTGCCACGCTGCGAGCTCAAATTTATATCGACATCTTTCGTGTGCATCACGTCCATTCGTAATTCTGCGAGTCGCCAATCGCAGAATTGATGTAACGATCGTCATTATATACACCTATTTTAGTTTATGTTGTCTTATTCTGAGATAAAAGGAATTTATATGATAATGTGATCAGTGAGAGATCGCGCGTCCAGAGAGGAGCACAGATTTTGCTTTCTGCTCACAGCGTGGTGATGAGTTTTTGCTATCGTTATGGGTACATTTTTTATATATCAGATTATTTAGATGGATATATAGAAATAACAGTTAAGAAGGCGCAATTGAAAGAGAGGCAGATCCAATATCCGATCGATATCCAATCACTGCCCCCCCCGGTTAGATCCTTCGGTATTGATCCTTCCAGATTTAATTACCGAGATATATCTGTTACGATCATAAGTTAAGGAAAGCTCGTTTAACGAGATGCACACGCAGTTTCGCTACTACCCCGCTTCACACGTACATACTAGCCTACCGCGTATGTTAAGTGAATGAAATATGCCGAACTCTCTAAGGCTTGGTGATGGAAAGATTCGCACCGCACGGATTTGTGAAATCCTGTTCCGCTTTTTTTCTTATGTTCATTGGGAGCGATACTTCGACGCGTTTTTTTTTTAGCAGTAAGATAGATTTCATCTCCTCGCTCTTTTCGTAAACGACGAGCAAAATCGGCAGGATCGTTTTATGGATTTAAGAACTTTCTGGTATGTCGAGTAAAATTACACGAAATGTAAGAGAATAGATAAGAGAGAGAGAGAGATATTCAGATAAGAGAGAGAGAGAGAGTGAGAGAAAAAGATATTAAGTTACATCAGTCTCGTGTAAATATATGTTTGCCTCTTGAATATCATTATCACTAATTACACTAATTGTAGCATGGTACTATGCGCACGTCTCGCGCCGCTTAATTTTAAACGAAAGCAAAACACGAATGTGAAGCGGGCGAGAAATATGTTCGTTGAATATTTTACCTCTTTCGACAAGATGTTGCTCAGATGTTACATGTCTCGATTCACTGACGGCGATACACATATTACTCTCTTAAATATACATTATGTAAGCGGCAGTCTCTCTTTTTACTACTTTTTCACGGTAGAGCCGTATTAAGAACAATGGATGTAATAAATTAAAGGATGTAATAAGACAATTTTTTTATTGGTCACGACTTTGTCGCCGAGTTATTTTTCTCCAGCCACAAACGCAGTTCCTTTCGCAAACTGATTGTACATATATACAGGCTTATATACAGAACAATATATAAAAAATGATTCATGTCTATTGTACTCGGTTTTAGTGTGAATTCTTGATTCTCCGACGTTTTATACTGACTGATTTATACAAACATCGTAAGAGAAGTCATCTTTGTTTACAGATCAGCTTGAACAATTTATCTACACGTTAAAAATTAAACTCTTAACGGTTAGTTAAATTCATTGCTATGCAACATATCATAAAATATCTGTTAAAAATGCTGACTTTTCACGCCAACAACAGAGAGGACTGTGTCGGATATTAGCAAAGTAGAAATTGTAATAACAAATTTATACTATCGTATAAAATATTTACTCAGCTGCTTCAGCCAGTCGTTGTCTTCTAGCAGCTCGGTCCTCAATCTCTAGGTAATGCTTGTTGAACATTATTTTCAACGTCGGGTACATCAAAGGCAACAGCGGCAACTGCGACAGGCTGATGTGCATATTGTCGTACGCGATGCCGACGTTATCTAGTTTAAGGCCGTTCGTGTTATCCGGCAGGTGAGGTATGACCGCGTAGCGTTGACTGAAGTGCGTCAACAGCGTGAACTTCGACCCCATCTGCTCGCCCGCTTGTATAGCCTGCGAGACCGTCGAGTGAAACTTCAGTTTCGCTTCCTCTATCAGATTGTCCTCCATCGTCGCCTCGTGGATGAGCAGGTCGCAATTTTGACCAAGTTTCACGAGATTCTCACACGGCATAGTGTCACCACTAGAAATATATCCATAATTTACGTGTCAAAAAAAAAAAGATAAAACATCTATTTTGAACTAAATTATAAAATAGTTGAAAGATTATGTCTACACAGTTGAATGGACAATTAACTTGAGATTTTGAAGAAATATTCATGAGATTACTTACCTATATACTATTTTCTTTCCGTTATGAAGGGTCACGGAAACGCCGTAAGCATAAGGACAATGCTTGACGTACACCGTCCTCACGGCTTGCACGTTCAGCGTGTTGTACATATCTCTGTATTTGTGCGATGATGGATTGTGCATGTCCATGAAGAACTCGCTGTTCGAGACCAGCGTGAGTCGTTGTAAGACAGGCTCGAAACGTTTGTGATACATCTGCAACCACGCGGCAATGTGCCCTGGCGCGAACAGATACAACGGGTCTTGCGTGACTTTCCCTCTCTCTTTCAGCACGCCAATCAATCCGATGTGATGATCCGCGTGCATGTGCGATACATATACCGCCTGGAAATACAATTCGAGTATTGTCGAGAGTTGTCGCTGCGGAATTCACGAAAACAATTAATAATCGTCGTACCTTGATCGTTTTCAAGACGTTGGGCGTCTCAGATCTCCCGTAGATCCTCGCTATCTGCCCGAACGTGCCCTCCCCGCAATCTAGCAACATGGTGTGGTCCTCGTCCACCCACAGAAGTATGCCGCTTGTATTTCTGACTTTACTCGGTATGCTGGAACCGGTGCCCAGCATGACGATCTTCGGATACTCTTCGCCGACAGGCAGCGTCTTCGTGCGGGCGCTGATGTCCGCTTGCAACTCCGCCAACGCGTCTAAAATGCCATCAAACTCGAAAACCTCGTCTACGTATTCCTTCGGGTGCAGTGATACCTCGTTCTCCGTGTCAAACGTCAACTGCGGCTGTAGGTGGATGGTGTGATGCGTTCTGGGACGATGTATAATGGGCAGATCTTCCGCCTAAAAAGAAAAAAAAAGAATAACTCGTATATATATTTAAAAAATGTTTTAATTCTTTAGATACTCTTAAATTTTATTCTTTAGATATTTTTAAATTTTACAATTCTTAGATACACTTCTGGAATTAAAGAATAAGTTCGATGCTGTAAAAATGTGCCTCACCCTCGTCCTCTTTTGAAAGCTCTCCTCGTTTAAGAAGGGGAATATCTCGGGATGCAGCATGTGGAGTTTATGCTGATGCCTGTGCACCGCCTCAGTGCCCATGCACTCGTTCTCCTCGTTCACGACTATGTGACGCGTACCGAGACCGAATTTGCCCATCCAGTTCACGTAGCGAGAATTGTCCATCACATTTTGCGGCGTGAAGTGAATGACGCAGTACGGTACATCGTCTTTGGTTGCCGTTCCCGTTTGATGCCGCGCGAAGGCAGGATGATTTACAAAGGACTCCAAGTAATCTTCCGATGGACATTCTACAACTGCACGCAAGATAAAATTTAAAACAGATAAAAGATTTAGCCTTTAAAATGAAAGCTCAAATGAGGATTCTCTATCGACATACTTATAAGAGTAGGGCCTGGCGTCGCCGGCGAGCAAACATCCTTGCTCAAAACGACCGTGCCGTCAGGAAGAGTAACGTCCTTGCCGGCTTTGAGCAGGCCGAACAAAGGACCAGGTTTCATCCCTTTCTCTACACATTTCTCTAAGCACAACGTGCCCGCTCGAGGATGCAACTTGCAGATGAAGGACATTACGGTCGACATTCTCTTATCAGGCCTCTGCTCGACCTTCAGTATCTTCGGCTCCGTTTCCGCTACTCTATCAGGTACTCGCTTGCCGTTTGAATTAGTCTTATAGTCGTAGTAATTGATGTTGTCGACCACCTCTCCTCCTATATCGATAGGCATTGCATCCTGCTCACCTGGCTTCGTAATGGAAACATACGAAACGGACATCACTGGGTCCACGTACGGCTCCGACTCGTCGCACTTGGCCTCGTGGATCTTCAGAGCCTGCAGCAACGAGATCTTCTTGATGGTATTGAACACATCCACCATCCCCTTGGGGCCGTGCACGTTGATCGTCGGCACCCCGGCGTCCTGTATCGTCAGGAGCATCCCCGGCATGCCACCCAGGTTATTCCAGGTTGCCGACGTTACGAACACGTGCTCCAACTTGATCAGCTTGTACTTGTGCTCGAACGCCAACCTCTGCGTCCCCTCGCCGCAGTTGAAGATGTACCTGGTGTGACCCGCGGTCAGGTAGACGCATCTCGACGTGCCGTAGGCCCCGCTGCCCAAAATCTGCAATTGGTAAATTTCGTTTAGAGACATTCCACCGGAATGTCGAGTCGACCTCCCGTTTCGCGTTCTACCAACCTGCAAGGACACCTTCGTGTTGCCGATATACTTGATCGATTTATCTTTCAACTTCTGCCTCAGCCTCTGTACGCCGAGCATCTGCTCGACGGAGCGCGGCATGTGGTTGTGGCGAATCGGCGAGAATTGCTTGTAGAGGACCGGCAGCAGCTCCTGCCGCAGGCCGCGACCGATGGGGAAGAGTGGCAACGTGCGATAATTACGCTTTACGAGCGAGCACACGTTGGGCCTCATTCGTTAGGTATTCTTTCTTTGTTACCGTGTCAGAAACACTCGCCGTCAATCGCAGGCATGTAGGAATCACACGTGCTACGGTGCGAGTAAACAGTCATCGCACCCCTGTGCTTCTGACTGATGCAATCTCGCAACCCATAACCTGCAATAACCAACCAGCAAGCAACAAGCTTCGGGACACTCGCGACACCTACCAGTTGATGAGTACTTATTATTTTTTTAAATAAATAAAGAAGGCGAAAACGTGAAAAGTGGAAAACTTTGCCGTATAATAGTTAAGAGAACTTTAAAAGTTTTAAAAATAATTATAAAACTTTAAAAATTTTTAAAAATTGAGATAGTTTGTAGTTTTATATTATATAACGTAATTTTGTAATTATAGTGTTTTTTTTATATTACATACACATATACTACGAATAATGGAATAAGGATTGAGGCTTAGATAGATAGTAAACTAAATAATACTGTTTTTCGTACAATATTCATATATTTCTATGTAGATCATATTAACCGGCGCCTCTTGTATAAAATAACAAATATTGTACTGCAACATAGCTGTTTGTTTCATATACAACTATTCGTTCTGATATATATTCTTTTTAATTCTTTTAATTAATTTACTTTATAAAATTAACTTTATAATGGAATAATACTCCAACGAGGAAGTAACATGCACAAAAATAGCTAATTAATAACAGTCAAACGTTGATATTGAGTCATTGTTCTATAATACAAGAAAATATAAAGTAATTTGTATAAATCGCAGATCCTTTGTGTGACACAAATAATAAACAGTAACATAAAAATTATATAATGCAATCAGTTAAAAAATTGACGCATATAGTACATCAAAATATTTAAAAAATAAATGCAACCTGGCTGATATAGCCAGATATATCGATATTGATTTGAGTAAAATTTACAATTGTTTAAACGCTCTACTTCGTCTCATATCTATATATTACAAATATAATTAGGATTAATTTTTAGTTAATAACGCACGTAAATATGCTGTTTAAAATATCCCACTAATAATGCACACTACAATCTGACGAATTGTGTTTTGCGAAACATTTTGTTAAATCAGTAAATCAACGATATTCCCTATAAATGCATCATGTTTGCGTCTATAACAGGCTGATTGACCTTGGAAAAACGTAATTCATGTATTGATTCTTTTCTAAGTTTCGTTCATTTTTTTGTTATTCCTATAAGAAAAAAAATTAAATATCGAACAATATAACTACCCTACTGTTACTTTATCGAGTAATCATTGTTTTGCTATAATCACATTCTTGTTTCTATTAGGCACGTTTTATAATTGAAATATATATCATACTCGCTTGTATAATATAACTTCTTTCTAATCAGATATACCATTCTAATAAATATATAATTCAAACAGTATATTTTTCTTTTTTTTTTTATATTTGATGCTTTGATTTCTATGTTTTTAAAATATATCTCTGTAGTAGGAAAGCTTAATTTGATCATTTTGATAAGTACGCTTTTCCAAAACTATGGTACACGCTTCAGGACACCCTAAAATTGATGGAACATGGTTATTGCCATTTTTCAGAAACGCAAAGTTAAAAAAAATTCAGTATCGTTAACTTAATAATAATCATTATAATCAAATTATGTCTTAAGTAAAAATTAATATATACACATTCCTTCCCCTGTGCACTTATTATATCGCAACATAAAAAAAAGAGAAACAATGTTTCTCAATAGATTCAATAGAAAATTATCTCAAGAGACAGATTTTCATCTTCCTTTAAAAGATGAGTAACGAGTGAATTAAATTCCTCAGAGCGAAAGAATTTGCGACATCAAAATGAGAGTTTAAATGTTTAAAACATATGAAGCGATTGAGGATTTGCTAAGAGACACTTGTGCTCAAACATCGTGAGATCCTCTCTCCGTAAAGCAACGGTACGCTCTCCGAATATCTGCAGTAATTGGCGTACTTGTGTACCAAACCGTTTTGCAATTCAGCCGGTAGCTTGACACGATAGCGCTGAGACGATGACAGGTTTTCGCACGTCGCACAGTACTTCTCTCGCGCTGCTGATTCGTATTTTTTCTCGACGGTGCCCGCCGGTGAGAAACAGTTATTCTTCATCCCCCCTGCAAATTTTACAATTTCAAAGTACAGAATATGATTAAAGATCAACAAGCGTGCGGCGGAGGCAGTGTATTATAGGACATAGGCCAACTAAACACAGTTAGACGAAAGCAAGTTTGACAAATACTATCTGGTTGCAACAAATATTTCGTGTGACACATATTGCGACAAACCACTCTCCAAACATAAATATTAAAGCACGCGAAAGCTACATTTCTTTGCTCTAGCATTTACGGTACAAAATCCGTATTACAATGAATAAAATTGATGATATACAGATACCTGGTTTTACCGACCATTCTGGCAATCCGTTTTGCTCGGGGGATTCTCAGGGTCGTCTGATCTTTCATCGTCATTTTTAACACACCTTATTAGGAACATTGCTAACGCTCCCACTATCGGGGGAATGCCGGCTAGCAGGAAAGGCAAATCGTAGGTACCTGATAATAGCACAACAAGCAACACATATTGTTAATTATTGATTCGAGATTGTATGAAATAAAATAAATTTCCTGCCGCTTGTCCCCTACAAGTCACTTTTTTATTCTTTGTTATCGATACGTGAAGCGGATCATTAGAATCATTACCAGTATGATCGTACAGGAGGCCCGCGATTGGCGGGCCAATCGTTAGAGGTATAGAACACATCCCCAGAAGAAAGCCGATGGCCTGAGTTGCGCCGCTGCGGCCGCAAATATCGAAGGCGATCGGGCCAAGTAACGATATGAAGCATCCATCGAACAGTCCCATGCCCAGCGAGATGGCCAGAAGCATGAAGAAGGATTTGGTGACCGGGAGGAGCATCGTGAGAATGCCGATACTTAAAAACGATATCTGAAAAAAATTCTCTATTTTCTTTTGTATCTAGACATATCGAGATTCCAATGAGGGGAAGAAAAGTGGTGGGATATTTTATTCTTAGTTACAAGAATTTTAAACGGATCGCGTTGGAAGTTCCCTGTCGGGTACTCACCTGTTGCAAGAATATCCGGTTCACCTTTGGCAAGTCGGCGATGTAGCCGAAAATTAAACGACCAATACCGGACGTAATGCCGATACACATAACCGGCAGCTTGCTATCGGCATCTTTGAACGTCATAGCCACAAACTTTCCTATGTGAACGTACGGGACGAAGTATCTGAAATAACAACCAAGTTTTCTCTATCTCCGTACAAATAAAATAAAACATAATTCATGTGGCAAAAGTCAGTTCCTTTAAATTCTTTTACATTTAAATGAGAGAGAGAGAGAGAGAGAGAGAGAGAAAGAGAGAGAGAGAGAGAGAGAGAGCGAGAGAGAGAGCAATAAAAACAATAATGTCTGTTCGCAAGAAGGATCAGCAACCACGTGCAGCTGATAAATACTTAAAACATTCTTCCAAAAAAAGATTTCGCAGACTAAAGTAATCAGACGATGATTAGTTTGCGATTAAAATGATTTATTGGGATTATCTAATTGGGTTCGGTCTTCGTGACGTAGCTACTTAGACGATAATGGCGATTTATCAGGATCGTTTATTTTGGTTCAATCTTTGCTGCACTTCTGCGATAAACCTTCAGAGATTGCGCTTCATTCGCAATCTCTGAATTTGCCGGCGCTAAGCATTAATGATCGCGTAAATATCCGACTCACCCGAAAAGAGCAATAGGAATAGAGCAAGCCCATACGACGTATCGCTTCTTCTTCCAGATAGACACGTTCACGAATTCTTTCAGACGACTTCGTATCGATTTCGACTTGAGCTGCGATTCGTCTTTCTGCGGTGTAGTTACTGAAAAAAAGGTGCTCGTTAGTCCCTTTGTTAAAATTATCAATAAAAAATTCATCAATCAAGAAAAAATTAACCACGACGGAAAATAAAAGATAAATACAATCACAAAAATCCTATAATGAGAACTTTATCGATTTCAAGGGCTTCGTATGATGATTCAAACTCAATGAGACTATAATGTTTCCGGTCATTGATGTGCTAACAAATACACTGGGTGAAATTACGCAAATGTCTGCGAGTTTCAAGGGAAACCTTACGTGGTATCGGCTTGAAAAGGATCGCGCAAGCCATGATGATGGCCGTGAAGACGGACAAGCTCCTCAGGGTTCCTTCCAGGCCCAAACGCCGTAGCAGGAATTCCATCAGGGACGGCAGCAACGTTGTGAATATCGCACTTCCGGCTGTGACGATGCCGTTCACCAGACCCAGATACTTCTTGAAGTAGTGGCCCAGTATCGCCAGGCTCGGGGTGTAAGCGAGACTCGCGCCAAGCCCGTACATGACGCCGTACGTTAAGAAGAGCATTTCCACCTGACAGACGCAAAACGGCGAGATGTACGATTCCGAAGCAAAATTCGAATAGAGATGATTAGAAAAGGCTCGAGCGTCCCTCTTGCCTTCCGTTTACCTTGTCCGTCAACAACGAGGAGAGAAGCAGGCCAACAGACGCGATCGCGCCTCCTACGAAGGTGGTTGTCTGGATGCCGAATTTATCCGTCAGTATCCCAGCGACCGGCGACAGGAAGAACGTGGTTCCGATAGTTAACGAGCCTACCAAAGCTGAAACAATTCCAAGATGCCCGATAAGTAATAATAAAATTCTCACAGGATGATTAAAAAATGACTGCACCACAGTAAAAAGGGAGGCATCCATCGATCGTTTATCTCTTTCAATTTCAACATTACTCATTTCGTTAGTTGCTCTATTTTTTAAGTTATATCCTCGACACTTGTATCTTAACTTGTAATATCTATTTCTATAATCAATACAGATTAACTGTAATCTCGGTTTAACTTATTTTTTATCTTTTTCTAATAGTTCTAAGATTTAGAAAAAGATAAAAAGTAAAAAATAAACCGAGATTAAAGTTCATCTACATTGGCAGAAATGGACATAAAAATCTCACATGATTAAATAGATATATATTAAAATTCTGTTACATATCACAGCTTCGCGCACAAAAGGCATTCTCATTGTTTCATTGCGAATAATAAAGAGATGCCAATAAACGTGCGTGTATCAACATGATGCACGAGGTAATTACGTCAATTAGAGATCGTAAGTCGTGACGATCGATTGGATGCACGTTGTGAATTAATAGCGCATATCTAGGCCGGCAATTTATGAATTATTTCTCTTTTCGTTACGAGCAGGATCAACGATTAAGTTGATGAAGTAACATCAACAAGTAGCATGAATTAGCCTCTATTACTATAAATGACTGTCTAATTGTCGTTGGGTTCCTCGGTGTGTTTAAGGGCCCTGCCCATGTAAACAATCAATCTCGTGACTTTAATTTATGGCATCGATCGGATAATTTCTTCCTCCCGTACGCGGTTCAACGATTTAAGCGTGAAGGGAGCAAACGGCGAGGCGAGGCTAAAGCGAAGACAAACGCATAATTTATATGAAAATAGTAATAAAAGGCATCGTTCGTGTAACTGATACAGCGTTATCGAAACGGAGAAAAGCTGGAGAAGACCGGATAATGGAGTTCATCGAACCGCGGTCGAGAATCCCTCAGATATTTCATATATTCGTATAACAATCGGTACGACAAAATTACGATATAATTATGAAAAGCAATTAAAGCCTCGCCTCGTATCGCGAGCGTTAAATCTGCGCGATCGTCGCACGATTGTCGCGTTATCTGAACAGATACGCTTTAGAGTAATTTTTGATCCCGCTCATCAAATCGCTATCATCGATTATGCAATACGTATGTATTATAAACGCGGTCTATATTTAATACGATTAAATATAAACGAATTGGAAGATCTGTGTAGTTTTTGCGATATTAAAGAAACAGTTGTACATTTAATATAAATTGAAGGCCGATCACTATTGCGATTAGCAAAAGATAAGAAATCCATATATATTATCCATATTTAAAGCAGTTGTATAATCAGCGAACATATTCAATAATTCTTAGAATACCATAATTTTTTTGCTACATAAGTACATATGGAGGGGTAAAAACCACAGTGGTGTAAGTCAAATTTTTAAAAATATTTTCTCGTGTGCATAGATCCAATCTTTACAATATATAAATTGCATCTATGCACACGAGAAAATATGTTTAAAAATTTGTCTTACACCACTGTGGTTTTTACCCCTCCAAATATACACAATTAATATATATAAATTATATATAGGTAAATAAAATAATAAAAAATACAAGAGTATACGTATATCTTGTATTTTTTATTCTCTCTCTCTCTCTCTCTCTCTCTCTCTCTCTCCATCTCCCTCCTTCCTCTCTTTCTCTTTCTAAATTCTATTATTTTCCATATAACATTATTCTATTCATTATATGACACCTAGTTATAAATGTGAATATAATCTAAACTTTTTTTTATATTTGACATTTTTTTCCCTTGAAAAATTTTTAACTATAATTAGATCCTAAGCAACAAGATTTCAAGTTTCTTTCGACATAGATCCCATTTTAATTTTTAATGTCAAATATAGTAAATGCAATGACCAAGCTTTAGACCGCCGGCATTTGATGAGTTTTAATCCTCTTAGAAAGTCCTCAAATTGTTGTGGTTATATCTTATATATAACATATAAAAAGTTCCGATCACACGTAGAGCCTATATTTAGGCTTTCCGGCGAAAGCCTAAATGTCTAAAGGTTAATGTAATCTGCATCATAAAATAAATAATAAAAAACAAGAGACTTGTATCTGCATAATAAAATAATAGAATAAAAAAAGAAGATCCTTATATCAGCTAAGTTATAACGATAAACTTTTACGTCCACACCATTATATAAATTTACAATCCTGAAGCAAACACTCTCTAAAAATTCGTTTTATATTACTGCAAAACTGCTATGATTTTGATTAAAATTTGTTACTGCAATTGATCTTTACGCAATTAGAATAACTTTTCAAACATCTTACACAGCAGTACAATCAGAGGGGAGAGGGAGCATATTTTGCTATTATATTGTACTATAAAAATACAAAAACTTAAAATGTTCGTAATTTGAATAAATTTATGCGAGAGTCGATAAAAGTGCTTGTTTGATAATATACAAATTACTATGATAATAACATTTTAAAAAACAAATTAAACTGACGAAATGCGTCGCGGTATATTTGTTTGAAAAAATCCGGAAAAACACAAGGAATATTCGTGTTTTTTTTTATCATTGAATAAACACTAACGCACTCGAGGGTGATAAATAATTGACATAATCTTTGCACTTCTTGATCTACGCGAGGACACTTGTCAGCATTCCACTCCATAAATCAGCACCTGATCTTTTCAGAGTACGCGTGAACACGTGTATATCACTTCTTTACAATTCGGTTTCGGAAAAATCCTTTCCGATCGAACGCCCGATTAAACTTCTTCGTATAGAAGTGCAACATTGTAGTCAAACGATTGTATTGTAATATTATCGTCACTCTCGACGCTAATAAATTATCGCGAATAAATTGTCTGTTCTCCAGGATATCACAAGGAGAGTATGAAATTAATGAAGCACACATGTAGCAATTCTTTTTTACAAGATTAAAGGAAAAAAATTAATAAGATACCAGTGCAGGGTGGACAATAATTGATTTGAATAAACCGCTATTTTGAATGTAATGCGTTTCTGTCAGTTGTAGACAGCACACGTGGTAAATTAATTATGGAGCGTTATACGATACAACAGCGCGTATGCGTTGTAAAAATGTCTTAGCAAAACAATTCGTCGATGACTGACTTTGCGCAAGTTACATCAATTTCAGTTGAAATAATGTGGCGAATGTCAATATAGTTCGTCAGTAAGTTAACAAAATTTAAACAAATTAGTGGCATCAGTGACAGGCCAAGGTCTGCTCGTATCCGACTGCCGTACAAACATTGAAAGGTTTCATGAAAACGTAGCCGAGATTTTCACAATACGCGCTGTTGTATCATGTAATATTTTATAATTAATTAATTTGCCATGTGTGCTCTCTACGCAGAAAAAAAAGAAGTGTCAAATCAAAACTTGTATCTATAATCTTGAAATGAGATACATGTTGCATTAAACAAAGAAAACTTGCTTGAATGAAGTCATTTATGTTGTAGTTCAATCAAGAAAAAAAAGTTGAAATGTGAAAAGTTGAAATTCTTATAAGAAGATTATACATTGTTGCCTATATACGAGTATATATAAGTCTTGATTGGACACTTCTTTTTTTTCTGTGTACAACTGCCAAAGCGCAACTGACAGAACGCATACATCGAAAATATTTGCTCAGTTATTCATTGCCTTGTGTTATCATTTTCTAGAAGACTAATGCCTCGCCGGGAAGTTTCGCACCTGCTTTGGAGGAGACCTCGGTCTCGCCGGCCTCCGTCAGTCGCTTCTGCAGCTCCGGATAGATGAGGGAATACGTGTTGATGATGCTGAAGAGCACGCCGTTGATCGTGAAGCTGCCGATCATGATCATCCAAGCCCGGAGGCCGCCGTCGGGCGGTCCGGCCGGCTCGCTCGCGCGGTCCTCCTCGTCGTTGACCGGGTCCACCTTTCGACACATCGCGTCTCCGTCTGTCTGCGCCGCCACCGCGTTCTCCACTTTGTGCATCCTCCTCAGCTTCCCGATCGGCGCGTCAATCGTTACTGGCGCGCTCCCAGCCAGAAGGGGATTGCCCTCACCCGAATCGGAATTGTCGAGGTCTGCCTGACGGCGCCGAACGTGGCTCGACGTGCCGATTGGATCATCCGCGTCTGTGTGATCGATCGTTCGGATCGGCCCGTCGCCTTCCAGACCGAACCCGCCGACGTCCCCATCGCCGGCCTCCTCGCCGATCGCCATCGTTATCGACGATTACGCTTGCCGATTATTAGCTCGGCTCGTTGTCGAGATATCTGTAAACTTTTGATAAAGCAAAAGAACATTTTGAATTCTACCAGAATTGAAGTGCACGATTAGATATAGCTTCTATTTGAAAAATATGTGAGAAATGTGAAAAATCCGAGATCTTCCATCACGTTGATACGTGATGACAATTTATTTGGATAATCGAAAGTTAATCTTGGTGAAAAAAAATTCTCATGTTTTCTCAGAAATTTTCTGAGAATTTCTCATATTTCAGATTTATGAACAATTTTTTAGAAATAATTAAATGAGGATTTTCGGAATATTTTAGTATTTGTATGTATAAACTCTCTGATAAATTGCGCGCATTTTATCGTATCTATTCAGATTTCTACAGAGGTAAGTTAACGGGAAAAAATATTTAAAAATCTGAAAAATTTTTAGAGTCTTAAAATTTTCATAAAAATTCTGAGACATTTTTCTACCAAAAAATCCCTCTCCTTCCTCGACAAAAAAAATCGTTATTAATATTTTTGATTTTTAATATATCGTACGTTTCTGTTTAAAAAATATATATATATATAAATCTATGTACATATTTTACATTGTAAATTTCGGCATATTTTACATTGTAAAAAAGTTGCGACAAATTTTTCGGCGCACGCCAAAATCGGTCTCGTCTCCGAGAAGAAAATCTTTCCGCCCACGAGCATTCTCGTCGCATATGGAAGATGCGCAACGACATATTTGCTGCCCCGTTTGCCGGCACACAAAAGTCCGCGATGCGGGGCTTGATTAGTCTTTGAAGCCGGACAATGTGGCTTCAAAGACTGCGGCTTAACCGTTTAACTGCACCTTTGGCGATTTGACACATCGGTGTAAGGTAGGAGGACCGCGTGCGCTCGCGCGCGCGATTGTTAATCTATCGTGAGACACTTTTGGTCCCTCAGATCTATAAATACTTACGCGAACTATGCGCGAATGTCCGCGATCGAGGTCGAACTAAATATTGTTATTTAAGTTGAAAAAAAAAACCTACTGCAACGTAGAACGATAAAATGCGTAATATCTTACGCGTCGTGTGCGACACACTGAAAAATTGCCCCGCGAATCTTGATGTACCAACCGAAATATCGAGTCCTCGATCTAATCGCACCGATGACGAAGCAAGCTTGAGAAGCTGACTCTCCCTGCTAATTAATACAATTGTCGCGGATCTTTTTCACGAGACAATAGCGAATTTCCGTTCGAACGCCATAAAAGATGCGAAGCACATCGATTATTTGGTAAAATTATCAGGCGGCGTGTAACGTGATTATTTTCTTACGATGAAAAACGCAAGTGTTTCGACAAGTGAATTCTTAACGCATTGACAGCCACATTCTTCGTGTATGAATAACACTCGATTTCACGATAAACCTTCAGAAAGCTAAAGACATTTTCTTTCATTATCTATTATTTATATTTTATTATGTTATAAAACATTCTTTAATATTTTAATCTGAAATGTTTCACGGCAAAAAAAATAAATCGTGAAAGAAAACGCGTTTGTGGCTTGCTGGAGTTTTCTCACAGAACTCAGTGTTATTCATGCTTGAACAACGCGATAATCATTGTATTAGAAACAAGGTCTTGAAAGATACCTTGAAAGATAATAAAATGTTGATTTTTCTTGCATAATTTTCAACATAAGGAAAAACTAGTGGACGATGCGATCAGTTAAACCGATCAACATTAGACTAATCTTGCAATATTAAATCGAAGAACGTGTATTTTCTCCGTGTTTACATTTTTTTAAATAAAAATTGTTTAATTACTTCAGTTCAATCAAGGACACGTGGATTAATAACTGTCAGCTTTTATCGATGGTACTCGCAATCGAGCTGAAATTCGCTGTCGTTTGGGAAACACGAGTTTCGAATTCTTTCACGTCCATGCACACGCCACGATCGGGATAAAACCAGTTCGATTTCCACGAAGCTTACAAACGATTCATCTGGGAGTTTACCTTAACGAGCTAATTATGGCAAGCCGATTTCAGGCCTTGTTTTACTTTCGCGACGCGTCGATACGCGTTTTTCCGCAATAATCGCAGTAATTCGCATCGGTTTGCAGTTAAAACCTGGAATAAACAATCGTTGTTTGCTGAAATGGCGAGACGTGTGGGTGACGCGTCGATGCGCGTTTTACCGCGATAACCGCTGTAATTCGCATCGGTTTGCATTACAAATTTGAACAAACAATTGGAGCACGTTTGCTGAGACAGCGAGACGTGTCGGCTCGCATGACGAAAATTCCTTGCGCAACATTTGATTTCCCCCTTTCCCTTCCCTTCTTAGCTTCGTACAACGTGCGATCGTAGAAGGACGGAAACCATCAGGGGGCTAGAAAGGGGGATTTCTGATTTCTCCCTGCCTCCGCTCGGTCCTTTGCTCAACGAAATAGTCGCAGCCTGGATCTCAGTTTCTATACAGTTCGAAGTTTCGTGAGACGAGAGAGTACGACGTCACCTCGTGTCAAACGTTTAATAGCCCTCAACAATTTAAATAAATCATCGATATAACATCGATCACGCGCTGCTCCCCTCCTCCGCCTCTCGAAAAAGCTGAGGCTAAAACGAAACATAAATCTCCTCGCATACGGATCTCGAGACGCAAGTTGGGAGCGTAGGCGACAATGCGTATCATTTATAAATAGATCCGAGAGAATAAGAGCTTCTTTATCAGAACGACAACCTCCTTAAGTCAAGACCGGCTCACGGTTGACATGTACGGAATAAGTTCTCATTAATGTATAATGTGCACTAAAAGAAAGGCGAGTTATATCTTTGCAGCTTGACGAAGCGACCATTCGCATTAGCGGATTGGGATATTATTAGCTTATTTGGAAAAAAAAAATTCTTGGAATAACATTCTTTTCAAAAGCTTCTGACACGAGACTATTTCGTCTCGATTCATCGACGTATGCAAAGACTGATCGTACGATAATATTTACGCACGCAAGAAAATATATTTACGTTTCAGAGACACTCGCCGAGATTGTTGTCGTAAAGGCTCTTGAAAGAGTTATACGTCAGTTGACTTTATAGATTTGGAATAAAATTCTTGAAGAATTAGTTTTTAGAAATTAAAAAAAAAATAAAAGAATGATTCTTCTCTCTGTTTCGGTGCAGACGAACGGAGTTTTTTAAAGGCACAAGCGCGAAGGCGAATATTCGATGCGCATAATTACCCTTATCGCATAATTGAAAACAGCAGCCAGTGAGATTATAACGAAAGCGTGTATAAAATATCTGCTTGTTATCGAGACTCGAAATGTAAGCGATACACCGTGCAACAAAGTTATTTGGCTACATGTAACTTTGTGCATGAGGCAGATAATTTTATCACGTTGTCTGCCCAACGAATTTTATGTTTTATTGTATACGCCACATAATTATTATAAGTATATATGATAAAATAACGTGCAATATGATTAAGTATTATCAAATATGAGTATTAAATATAATTACGACTATATTCTCAAAATAGTATGTAAAATTGCATATTTTTACCTGATGCTATCATCTAACTATTTATGCCATTCAAAATTTTATATTAACATTTATTTCTTTTTAAAAAAATTTCGACAACGCCGGCGGTCACTAATGACCACCATGGGCAGTCAACGTTGATTCGTTTCGCGCTTCAGCCTAGGAACAATAGAGGATCCTCGCGTGTCGCGAGCGCCGGCCGCTATTGCGTCAGATCGCACACCGCACGTGGCCGAGCGTGTAACGTGATATTCGCGCGTGGCTACCTGAAGATCTCTTGTACAAACAAAACGCCGCCCGCCGTCGCCGTCGCCGCTCGATCAGCGGAACTACTCGCGAGATTGAAGAAGGCGTGTTCCATCCCACGCTATGATGATATTCCTCTCTTTTTCTCATTTCATGGCAATTCCTCTACGTAATTCGCGTAATTTGAGCCGTCGCGAAACTGCGGGTGTCGTCACGTTATACGCACATGTCTAGCACGATTCATTTTAAAGTGGACCGTCGGTTGCGGCTCACTTTAAAAGGAATCGTGCTAGACATTCAAAATAGTGATAACGCGCGCGCGAGCGCGGACTTTCTTCTCTTTCTGCAATTCTTCTTGATGGTATCTGTTAGTTATAAGACCTCTCGACGAATGCCTTGTAAATCAGAACTAATCGGTTGGTCCATGACTCATCGTGACCGAAAGTCGCGGCGCGCCCTAAACGGCGCCCGTTCGCAAAAGCAGAGCCGGAGCTCCGAAAATTCGGAGATATATACCAGTCCTTCGGGACACACCTCGCGTTTGTCGATGAACGGGAAGCAAGAATCACGCAAAAATCATGCGAGAATCACGCGAAACCGATCCGTCTCGCCACATGAAAGATAAACATGAAGAGTTTTAAGCTAATAATGTAATATATTACTATTTATCTAATATTTAAACAATAAAGCACAAATTAAAATACACGCATTTAAGTCAAACAATTGACAAATTGACTACACAACAAAGCGTTATTTCAAAAGTATATCATTATCATAGTATAATTATTATATAGTAGACATACGTTCGTTTTATTTTATCTCTTTTAGCTTCGGCTCAAAATTTTTACTGCCTTCTTTCTCTCCGTTGCGGCACATCTGCCCGGCTGCTGCATCGGGACTCGCACACGGCTCGGAGTCACTTTTAGAACTTCGGGACGTTAAAATAAACGTCGGCTTCTCTCGTTCCCGTTAGCGATTCTCACGCGAGTTCTATACTCGATTTTCTCCTCCTCGCGCCCTTTTTTTCCACGAAAAAAAAAATCGCCACTCCAAAAACATAACTTCCAACCTTGACCGTGATGATTGATCAATTGAACTTAATCGAATTTATTTATTTAAATAACCTTGGGGAACTCGGAATGAAACCGACTTGAAGAACCTGACTTGAAGTCTTCGCGACTCGATCGGGGGAGAGCAGAGACGTGTGTGGGTAGAAATAGGAATTCCTTCCTCACGCACAGACGAAGATCTATTCAGCTACTCCACTTTTTGCACTTAAAATGAAACAGATAGAATTATAATTAGACGTTGGGGAAGGGAAAAGGGAAGAACCAAAGGAAAGTACAGAGTTCGAAAACTAAAGTACACAGTTCGGCACGAGGCGGAGAACGAACATATCGAACCTGTCTCTACGTTTGTGTGTCCTCTCGACATCTGATTACACGCTTATTTTATTTCAAAGAGGACGACGCGCGGTACGGCTGGAAGAGAAGACGTGCGATCTACGGGGGAATGACGCCGCTCATTATATCATACCGATTTTTAAACGATCCTCGAGCACGTGGCGGACGGATGGCGAACTTTCCCGGAATCGCGTCGGCACCGCGAACGGAGGGAGAGAAGAAAACAAAGGGTGGGAGAAAGAAACCGCGGAGAACGCCCAGGCTGATCGACCTCGGGGGATCGGCCGACCGATCGCGACGTCGGGCGTAAACTAAGGAGGCGAGACAGGCGGGGGACAGACACAGGGGCCGCCGGCCGAGGAGAGTTCCAAGTTCCAAGCGCCAAGGAAGCGCGCGGGCAGACGACGCGCGCGTCTGCAAAAACGCGAGCTGAAAACGTGGAAGCGCGAGTCCGCCAATCGCGGTCGAGAATTTCGAAATGATAGACCACATTTTCTCGGGGGGGCCCTCGACCACGATTGGCCGACCCGCGCGAGTTCTAACGCTCGCGTTTTCGTGCGTGTCGTCGGCCTTATGCCGAGAAAGAGAAAGAAAGAAAGAAAGAAAGAAAGAGAGAGAGAGAAGAAGAGAAATTGAAGGAGAAAAAGGGAGCGTTAGATGAATGAAAAGGAGGGGGACAGAGAAGGGGACATAGGGGGGAGTACGGAAAGATATAGAGACGGCGATAACGATGAACCGACCGCGTGACCACGGCGCGTAAATTCGGATCGCGAAAGAAAAAGAAAATTGCGAAGAAAAAGAGAATTGTCGAGAATCACCGGGCTTATCCTTAAAAATTTCGATAGGCCCGTGAAAATTGGAGATCGAGGTCGAAATTCTCGTAGAAGAACGCTGGTACGAATGAGGTGCGGCAGGGAAAATAGCACGGCGTAGACGAGGCGAAAACATTCTGAAGAGTGCGTGTGAAGCCTTATCGGTGTATCCTGCGGCAACCCGAAGCGATAAGAAATAAAATATCGCAAGAAGTTACGCCGTTCGGCCTTGGTCGGTCTACATCACTGCCATATATCGTTGCAACTAGGAATAATTAATATAGATTTGAGTCCACGCGTGTAATAAAATCCACGTGAGTATTCGTTTATTTGTTAAATTTGTTAGATTTTCAACGTGAAACTTGAATAAACGAGCTATTATAAAAACGTGTCTATATATAGACATTTCAATTTACATACCGCTTTGAGAAAATGCATCCTGGATTCAAATTCTGCGGTATCAGATCGGCTGTGTTCACGTACGTAACGGAATAACGAACTCCACGTGCTCATGTATAAATTCCATCCCGCGCTTATCGTCAAAGAAGCTGGATTTTCAACGTGAAACTTTAATAAATGTAAAAAACGTTAATGTAAAAACGTATCTGGGAAATCTTGGATTTACATACCGCTTTGAAAAAATTCATCCTGGATTCAGATCCACACGGAAGTCTGTCCGAGTTAGAAATAAAAAATAGCACTCCGAAATAACTTTCATTCGTGAAAAATACAGTCGTTCTAGTTTCTTCCATCCGAGGTCAAATTTCTCAATCCTCCTGTCCGAAGTGCAAATCGTTGATTTTATCTAATCTAATGACAAGTGGAACTTCTCATGGATAGAGCCGACAAACATGTTTCGTACTAATCACCAAAATCCAAGCGCGGCGCTCCTTTATCCTGGAAACAAATCCATCGGAAGCGTGAATAGGACGAACGATGAACGGAAACCTGGGCGACCTGTCTCCCAGCTTTCAGCGGTAATATATTGTAAAAAAAAAAGAAAGATACGATATTAAAAGATAGGACATAAAGCTCTTCGACAATCGTAAAGCTCTCTTTATGTCAGCAGTTCGCGAACGGAAAGGACGATCGACCGTCGAGACGCCCCCCCGTCGCGTCCACCTGATTTTCAATGAGCACGACCCAGCTGATCGAGCTGACCTACCGACTGACTGACCTTGACTCGGAGAGGCGCACGAGCGTTTGGGAAATTACCTAAGTGTGTATATGCGCGAGAGCCGCGCGCGACGAGTATATAAAGATCGGATCGTCCACGTACCACGGGGGTTTGATCTCCATCACCGTATGCCGCATGAGGAATTTCGCGGTTCTCGCTTATCTCGCCGCCCGCGAGCAACTCCGCGCTCGCCCCGGCCTTTTAACCGACGACTGCTGGTCGTGACGTGTCATTGACGCAGAAACCGCGCCGATGATAAACGCGGCCGCCGCGCCGGCCGCGCGAATGCCGCGAATGACATGCGCCGGCAAGGTGAACTACGTGAAAAACCTCCCCGTCCCGCGTGTCGCGCCTCCTCTCCCCCGCCGTCTTTTTTTTCCTTCCTCCGGGATAACGGGACCGTCGGGTTTTCGATTCCCCGGGGACCACGCGGCGTCGCCCTGGGTCACCCGGATCGCCGTTCGACCGATTGAGGAATGCGTTACGTAACTAACGTAACATTTTCGGAGAACGCGCGAACTGGGTTGAAGAATCTGATTCGAAATTACCGCCGCGTTCGATCGCACGTGTGGGGGAAGGCACCGCGGGTCGCGCGCGAGCACGTGTCGAGTGGCACACGTGGAGCGAGATTTTTAGGTCAAAAGAGAGCTTCGAAACTCGCTAAATAACGTCCATTTCTACCGATGTAGATTAACTTTAATCTCGATTAAACTCAATTACTTTTTATCTCTATAGCTTTTTAATCGTTAGACTTAGAAAAAGATGAAAAAGTAAGTTAAACCCAGATTAAAGTTGATCTATATCGATAGAAATCAGAAATGAAGATAAATCGATCGAAGTTGTCTCCTCTTTCCCTTTCTCCAATGTCTAATTACACACACCTGTCTCATTTGTGGAGTGCGAAAAGCGTGACACGTAGTACAGTTACCTGATCTAGGGTATTGTATTGTTCGAAGTATACTGACAGCACTGAACAGCTACAATGCACGTGACGTGAACTGTAGTACTTTTCAGTGCCGTCAGTATATTTCGGAGCTCACCGTTGCTCACCCAGCTCACCGCCGCCAGTGCCGTACGCAAGTAACATCAGGATGTGATAATTTGGAAACCGTACTGTGTGTCTGTCCATGTCGGCGACCTCCGTCACGTTCCTCCGGTTTCAACGAGGACCTTAGAACGGCACGGAAAACGATCGAAAGATGTCCAGCGTGGACTGGGAGGAAGTCAAGCGACTGGCCGCCGATTTTCAGAAGGCGCAGCTCAGCTCGACCTTGCAAAAGTGAGACGCCCTTTGCTCCAATCTCTGCTTAACCTAATCTCTCATTCTCTGACGATGGCGAATTCCCAATAACTGTAAAATGACGAAAAGAAATTGTAAAATAACGACGTGGTATCTTAGGCCTGCGAATAAATCGCGCTTGAATCGCAAACGTTACGTTCCTGTTACTTGACTTGTATATTTTGAATGTATTTTTGCACAGTAGCAGCTTGCGAGAGCTCCAAATAAGTTTAAACATATGGCATTAATGGTAACACGTTGACGAATTTGATAGATATGATTTCAAGATCAGTGTTTCATTATATTTTATTACTCCAATAAGAATATGGTCGGTGTTTTGTAATTATTAATGATCTTGAAACGTATTTATCACCTTTCTCTATAGACATTGAAATTAAAGAGTACTCGAAAATTCGATTAATCAAAATTTAATTTATTAACTTTATTATAATATCAGTAAGATTTTTTCATCTTCTGTTAGTTTTGGTACAGTTTAACATAATTATATATGTATATTGCAGACTCTCCGAGCGAAATTGTATAGAAATCATAACGACATTGGTGGAGAACAAGCTTCTGGACATTATATTTACCAATGACGGCAAAGAATACGTCACGCCGCAGCATCTCGGGAAGGAGATCAGAGACGAGCTGTACGTTCACGGTAAAAAAGTCAGCTTGGTCGACCTGGCGCAAATCCTTAACGTCAACTTGTCGCAAGTGACTAGAGTGGTGACGGAGATCGAGAGGCACAACAAGGGGCTGAAGGTGATCCTGGGGCAACTTATCGATAAGAGTTACATCAGTAAAATTGCGGAGGAGATAAACGACAAGCTCGTGCAGCACGGCTGCATTAACGTGGCCGAATTAACGCTCACTTACAATCTACCGGCCGACTTTTTGCAATCGGTCGTCGAGAAGGAACTTGGGAAGATAGTACACGCCACCCAGGACTCCCAAGATCCCAAGGTCTTTTACACCGAGAGCTTTATCGCTAGAAATAAGGCGAAGATCAAAGGCGCCCTGTCCGCCGTCACGAAGCCTACGCCACTATCCGCAATACTGGGGCAGTGCGGCGTGTCGGAAAGAATATTTTTCTGTGAGTGCAAAAACAGAGTGACGTGAAAACAATAGGCTCTTAATGTCCACTTTAATGATTACTATTTTCTTCCTACATTATTAAATTCAACAATATCAGGCTATTGTATTTCGTCGAAGAAGTCTAATTTTATATTCTTACCTCTAGATCTATTCCTTAGAATTCCGTTGCCACATTCATAAACCATATTCGTTCTTGTAATATTCAGACTTTCTATTTAACTTGTTTTGTCGCACGTTTTGTAGCAATCCTGGATAGTTTGCAAGAGGTGAAACAAGTGCCAGGAGTCGTGACTGGGAAACAGAGTGGAAACAGCATTTACATACCCACTATATACTCTAAAAGTCAAAATGAATGGGTTGAAAATTTTTACAAACAGAATGGATACTTAGGTAAAGTGTGCGATTTATAGGAAGTTCCTAGGAAGTTCCCGTGTCACGTAATTTAATATATTCTTATCTTGCAGAATATGACGCCCTTACAAGACTCGGGATATCGGATCCATCGGGCTTTGTGAAACGTCACTTTCCGAACGAGAGCATAGTCTTCCTAAAGTCAGTGGCTGTGGGGACGGTGGTAACGGATCAAGTCGACGCCAATATCGAGGAGGCCGTTGCGACCGGATCCTTCGTCGATCTGTATCCCCTTCTGCCGTCTGTGTTTAGCGACGAAGACGCGGAACTTCTTCTCAAATTAGCCACGAAGAAGACGAGGGTCAATGTGCATATATTCGCGAAGACGGTTGTGGTCTCCGAGGCATTTCTACAGACTTTAATCAAGTCCCTCGAAGCCGTGGCGGAGCAAAAGGCTCGGGACATGGTAGCCAGCGGAAAGTGGATTCAATCTGTCGTCGAGAGTAAATTGAAATCTAAATCCGCGGACGTGATCGTTGAGAGTAAAGTGAGCAAAAAGGAGGAACGAAGGAAAAAGGCAACTGTTGGTAAAGCGGGGGGCGGTAGTCAAGGCAGAGAAACCAGGACGAAGTCTACGAAGAAGAAATATCTTCAGGGAAAGACGCAGGAAAATGACTCTGACGAAGACGACGACGCGAGGCAGACAACGGTCGGAAAGGGTGAGATTACGTTGATATCCGTGGAGGAAGTGAAAGCGGAGGTCATGAAGGACGAGAACGTATCCGTTATCGAGGAAATGGCGGACGAATTAGCGTACTATTTGCAACCGAAATTGAACAAGTCCGCGTTATCGTTGGCGGAGCAATTGGCGCAATCCAACAAGACCACGAACCTGAGCGAGATCGGCGAACGCCTGAACGTTCTGATAACGAACATTCGAATATTCGACAAAGGTATCAAACATCTGGATAAGGCGGATCAAGCTTCACTGACCAAGTACCTGCTCAAGTCTCTAGGTCTCGACTTTGTGACGAGTATATTTAAATTGGCTGCTCAACAGAACATGCTGCAAGTGGCGGAAAATCTCACGACGGAAACGAGGCAAAGACTGCTGCTCGAATTGCCCGCGGACGTCAAGGAGCCGTTGACCGCTATCCACAGGACGGTGATGGGAGATTCGGTGGAGGACTTTTTGAACAGCGTCGACGGGGCGATGGCAGCCTGCTGTCTGGTCCTGAAGAAGTACGATAAAAAGAAGGAGCGGCCGCAGGTGCACGCACACAGAGAGGCTCTGCTGGAGGAGCTGAACGCCACGCAAGATCCCGCGTTAACGTTACACCTAGTTACGAGCGTGCTCTTCACCGCTGTCACGCAGAACGCCTTACACATGTCTGGCAGACACGTAACAACGGTTCTCGCGTTCCTTCAACAGCACTTGGAGCCCAATACGATGTCGACTCTTGCTAGATACCACGGTACGTAACGATTTATAAGACTATCCTTGGAAAAAAAGAGCTTCTTTACAGTAAAATATAATTAATTGAAAATATATTGCGCTTTTTCTAGATTTAGTGCTCAATTTGCTAAGCTCTCCTGACGAAAACGCAAAAATGGAAGCCTCCAGGGCCTTGGAGGAAGGATTGGTGGACATAAAAAACATTGCGAACAATTTCAAGCAACATGTGAAAATAGACAAATCTTGAGAGGGATTACGCAAAAATGCTGTATAATATGAATAATGTAATATAGTCTAGACCCATTTTCTGTAAAAGTATTTGTTATATATCAATTAACGTTGTATTTTATAATAAAATATACAATATACATATTTACAATTTAAAAAATCAGACCGTGACCTAATTTATGTCTATATATATATATATGTAATAATTGTGACGCTTTCACTGCAATATTCGATAAATGCGTTTGTTTCTTATCGCGAAATTCTCGCAATACTTATCTTCTCAGTACATTACAATCTTTGCCGTATTTACAGTTCGGTTCACTAATAAACGTCAATGCAATTGGATGCCTACAATAGACTTACCTATGTATGTACATATGTATAATTTAAAAAAAAAAAGAAACAAAGAAAGAACTTGACCGCCATTTTTATATGTACACGTAAATATCACAAGTGTAGTTTTTGTAACGACAGGTTACAAAGTCGCTAAGATTCGCGTGAATCCGACGGACACCGGTACCACGGTCTGCCCGATACCCCAAAACAATGCGTACAAGGGCGGCATTTGATAGCCGGACGCTCTGTACACGAAGGCGACCGCCGCCGAGCTGACGACGCCCGACGTCAGCGGCAACAGTACGCCCATTATTATGATAAGCAGCGGAAAGAATCTGTGGATATATACGTAATGTCGTGAATCGAGCCATTTTTCTTCCTCCTCCCACCCATCCCAGATAGGAAACAAACTTACGTACTTGCCGTATTTGTGCTGTCGCAGGGTGGCGAAGCAGATCGCGCCGGCGATAGTGTGCACGAATATCGAGGAGAACAGGGCCCAGAGAAATATCTGATACCACATCTCTGAAAAGTAGAGAGATCGACAATACTCACAATTTTAGATATTTTTTAGATAAGGCGACTTCGGATCGCGCTTCAATCAAGTCAATCGGCGAATAACTTGTCGGGGTAGCGACTGCAGTAGGTATTCTGTCAACAAATGGAACTGTCAGTTAAAGGGAGATTTGGAAACCGAGGCTATAGCGAGCTAGACGTAATTTTGAAATCTTGCCGCGGGTGAGCCTGTTAATTGAGTTAATCGCCAATCAAGTGGAGATCGGAGCCCGGTCCAAGTCGCTTGTTACAGTTCGACTGCGATCGGTCATAAAATGGGACAAATGGTATTCGAGCGATTGTTTACCTGCGAACGACGTTAAAGGCATGTAGAACGCATTGCCCGAGTTCACGTTTCGCAGCGTCATTTGCGGCCGCGTTGGCAGGTTGACGTTCGTTTGCGTATCCATTCGGGCGTCGATGAGAAAGGAAGAGGCGGAAAACTTGGACGTACAATCGTCCCTATATGATACGCGAGTCCCTCGTTAATTTAATTCGCTTTCCTCCGCGCCCGTTCGGCAGTCGTCGATGAGAGGTTATGTCGGGGCCATCGTTAGGGCGTTACTTCGAAATTATTGACGGACAGCAGCAGAATTACCGCAGTCCGCAGCCGCGACAGCGAGAGGCGAGGGATAGTGAAGAATCGCGCGAACGGATATTCATTTTCGACGAGATGTGACAGAGCGGTCGAGAAAAGACTCGAACGTCAATACGTAGCTGTCAAACTTGGCTCATCGCTGCTCGGTCGATATCGGTAGAAATCTATACGGGTAGAGCGCCCGTTTGTGTTGCTTCTGCTTGCACTTTCTGCACTCGAACTTCTCTTAAAAATATTACTTCGCATAAAAATCAATAGTTTTTTTTTTTTAA